CTGCACTGCCGGGCGCCCGACTTGGGCTTTTGAATTTTAAACCTTTTTTTTTTTTTTTTTTTTAAATCAATTTTTTTATGTTTTTTTCAGGACGATACGACTGCATTTGAAGTTGATCATACCGATTATTTTACCACTACTCAGTTGTTTGACTCAAAGGATGAGGTAGTGGTTTGGGTGAGGTTCGTTGCAAGAGGTCTTTTTGTGAAAATAGTAAAAAGAAGCAGTCCTAAAAAAAAGATTTTTTTGACTTGTGACCTATTCGGGGAAAAACGAGAATGTCCATCAACTAATCCAGAAGCGCGCCCGAGAAGGACCGGTAGCAAAAAGATAGGCTGTGGTTTTTATATTGTCGGAGAGCTACGATGGGATGATAAATGGGAGGTCAGAGTAATATACGGGAAGCATAATCATGTTCCGATATACAAGTCCGGGCATGGGATGAGTGCATTGTCTCAGGAGGAGGCGAAGATCATTAGTGATCTGTCACAAAGTCATGTGCCGCCCAAGAAGATTTTGGCTAACTTGAGACAAAATGGTTTGGGCCTCGATGCTTATTCAAAACAAATATACAATCAGAAGGCGAAATTGAAAAGACTATCTAGGGGTGACCGTACAGTGATGCAACATTTGATTGGGTTGCTTGAGGAGCATAACTATTACAAGTGGTTCCGCACTGATGAAACTACACATGCAGTTACTGATTTGATGTGGGCTCACCCTCAATCTGTGGAATTGTTAAGTAAGTTTCCGTACGTATTACTACTTGACAGTACTTACAAAACAAATCAGTACAAATTGCCTTTGTTGGAGATTGTTGGTGTTACTCCTGTCGGGAAAAATTTTACTGTTGCAGTCGCATTTTTGCGCCATGAAAATGAAGACCATTACACATGGGTGTTGCAAAAGCTGAAGAGACTTTTCCCCCCTCAGACTCTACCTAGTGCCATCGTGACGGATCGAGAGTTAGGGCTCATAAAGGCGCTAGAGAATGTATTTCCGACCGTACCTCATCTCTTATGTCTTTGGCACATTAACATGAATGTGGGGCGTCGTGCTTCAAGATGTCTCGGCAATAGTAGGCGTCGCGGCACGGCTTTTGTAGTTGGCGTGTGGCAAACTTTGGTAAAATCAGTGTCTGAAGAAGATTTCGCCAGGAATTACACAGCTTTGACGGACGAGTACGCGAATTATCCAGATTTGATTGAGTATCTCCAATACACTTGGCTCGTATTTCGGGGTGTGTTTTATGCAGAGGATGTCCACATTTTTTGGAGGACATTTATTTCGGGATTCGGGGATTCCCTAGATGAAAGTGTTGGTTCTGTTCCCGACCACAGGTCACAGGCTATTGGCAGGCTAGAAGGGTTAATGAATGATTTGCGTGAGCGGTCAGAAATTGAGATCACGGACGTGACAGATGCCATTTTTGAACGAATGCATCCCGGGGCCATGGAAATGAATGCGCCACAAGTACTAGACTGCCCGAGAGGTAGACCGCGGACGAACTCTACACAGAGGGATTGGTCAGGGCATGAGTTTCCATTATTTCCGGGAGAAGGTGAAGAGTCTGGCTCTAACATCCGAAAAATTCAAAAGCCCTACAAATCGATTTGTAGGGCTTTTAAACATGAAATTGGTTGCAAAATCGAGTTACCCATTGCATATAACACATGTAGGTGTTGAAATTACCTGAAAAAATCGAAGCCCAAGCTCGATTTTGGTTGATTTCGAAATTTTTCGAAAAAAAAAAATTTTCTGAAATTTTTGGAATGGGGGGTAATTGGAGAGAATTTCGAATTTTAGGGGTTTTAGAGAGATAAACTGTTTTTTACTTTGAACGGTAAATAGCACTTATTAGCCCGTAAAGAGCATTTTCTAAAATAAAAAGTAATATTTATGGAAAGTAGATGTGGTCAAAATAGGGTTGAGTTGTTGTCCTTTGATTTAAGTTTGCAACCTTTAGGTAACGAAACGAAACTCGATGATCGTGGGGCTCCCTCTAATTTTACCAGCAATACTGTTTCCCCATTTTGAATCAAACAAAATGGAAAAGGGGCTTTTTTTTCTTTTACTGATCAGATCAAATAAATATGTAAAAAAGAGTTTGGGTGGGTGGGTGGGATAATTAATAAATAATATTAATGAATAAATAAAATGGGGACGGGTGAAATGTTACATCTTGTCAATGTGTCAAATCACACGTACAGCCAGCTGATAAATTAATACCCCCCACCCCTCTTTCTTCAATTTCTTCTCATTTTTTGCCTGAATTTAATAATTAATTAATTCCCCAATCTATGTAAAAAATATTATTAATTATTAGTTATTACTGCTACTACAGACCCAGGTACTTGTTCGCCTTTTCCCGCGTTTTCTGCTTACTACTGTATCATTTTTGTTTTCTTGTGTTCCTTCCACGGGGCCTGTTTTTTATAGGTAAATTATTAGTAATGTTTTTTTTTTTATGAATTATGTTTTATTTTATTTGGAGTATGACATAAAATATTAAATTAAATATTATAAAAAAAATGTAATTTTGTTGGACACGTAAATTCCATGTGGGTCGATTTATTAATGGGCTGATTGATCCAAGTAGAGGGATTGACCGACAAAGATTGATGGGCCATATCAAGCATAAGGTCCCGGCCCGGCCCGTATCTTGAAAATAAAAATTGGAATGAATGAATATCCCAATGGATGATTGATCTGAATTCTATGTTGAAGAATAGATCTCTGGACTCTGTTTGCAAGCATATGGATAATCATATATAATAACTTAACTGCTGCTCTTAATTACATCTTATGTATCATTCTTCTTATGCTCAAGCAATGCCATTGCCAGACGAGTTAATTTCGAGTTTCAACACCGGCCCCCTAGGCCCTACCCATGTAATGTAATGTTTCATTTGTTTTAATGTTTACACCACCATCTTTTGTATGCCTATTTTACCCCTCATTTATTCATACAGCTCCCGGTTCACGAACCAGGTGTCACTCATGTATTACTAACTAACTGGAGGTGCTGGCTACATTGGTTCGCATGCTATGCTGCATTACGACTACTCATCAACCACAACTCATACCGTGTGACCGTATATATATAGTGGTTGGACCTTGGTGCAATCAAATTCTTGCGCACAACAACTGTTTCCACAACCAGGACGACTTCAATTTATTTACGCTGACCTAGCTCGGTGATACAACATCGGTAAATACTTACTCAAATTTTATATACTCCATTAATGATCAATAAATAATTCGATCAATATATATTAGAGTAAAAAGCAGTTTACCCCCTAAACAAATGCCCGTTTTGCACTTTGCCCCCCAAACAAAAAAAATTTGCACGTTCTTACCTAAACTCCGGTTTTTGTTGCACGGTGCCTCAAAATTGGAATTTTCAGGCCATTTTGACCGGATTCTTGCACACGTGCTTTTCACGTGAGTTTTAAAGGGGCAAAAGAGTCATTTCTCTTACATTCTTCATAAATTAAAAAAAAAACAAAAAAAACAAAAAAAAAAAAACAAAAAACAAAATACAAAAAGAAAAAAACAAAAAAAGAAAAAGAAAAGGAAGAGCTGCCGACGCCATTTCTACACTCAAATCGGCCTTTTCGGAACGGCTTCTTCTTCATCAAGATAAAGCACGGCGGCACCGACGAGATCCCCTCTACCCTCATAATCGATTTCGTGGTGAATTTGAATATAACAACAACAACATAAAGTGGTGGGCAAGGTTTCTTATAGAACGGTGGTAGTGGATACAGAGGAATTGGTGGTGGAAGTGGCTTCACATAAACCGGCGGCTTAGAAATGGGCGGCTTGTAAACTGGGGGTTTAGAAACCCGCCGGCGTCGCCGACGTACTCGTCGTCCGGCGAGATGACGAAGGCTAATCCGCCGCCGATGGAGGAGGGGTTCAGGTTCGTGACGGAGAACGAGAAGAATGTGGAGAAGCTCCCCAGGGATTGGGTGCCGGGTCGCCGGAAATTGATGGGTTTCGAGTATAGGATCTTGCCGGCGCCGGAGTAGGGGACGCCGAGATCGCGAGTGAGTCTGACGCTCCCGTTGCTCATGTGGGCGTCGCCGAGCAGCTTCATGGTGACAGAGTAAGCGTCCCGAAGTCAAAATCAGTAGACGCGGACAAGAATAAAACGAAATTCGCTACGAGAATCAAACAGAAGTAAAACCCGCCGGAAATTGACGTCATTGTCTAGATTAATTCAGAAGAATAACCCATTAACGAATAATCAAGGAAGTTATTATGTCCTGTATTCTGAGAGAGAGAAACTGAAGAAGAAAATAATTAATTAAGGGAGTGTGTGAACGGTGGTGGTGGTATGGGAGAGGAGAGAATCGATATTTAGAAATGGCGTCGGCAGCCCTTCCTTTTCTTTCTTTTTTTTCTTTTGTTTTTGTTTTTTTTTTTTTTTTTTATTTATGAAGAAGGTAAGTGAATAGACTATTTTGCCCCTTTAAAACTCACGTGAAAAGCACGTGGGTAAGAATCCGGTCAAAATGGCCTGAAAATTCCAATTTTGAGGCACCGTGCAACAAAAACCGGAGTTTAGGTAAGAACGTGCAAATTTTTTTTGTTTGGAGGGCAAAGTGCAAAACGGGCATTTGTTTAGGGGGTAAACTGCTTTTTACTCTATATATTAATGCAGGAAAGATAGGGCTGTCATGATCTTAAGGTCTGTATATATATAGAGAGAGATGCTATTTCTTTTTCTTTGTTTTAAAATTATTTGAAGTCAGTTTACTAATTTATCTTTAATATATTTCAGATACGTACGGATCCAATCCGGATGGAAGGCTTGAAGAAGCTCCGGCCCCATCAACAACTACGTGAGCATGTCCAAATATCCGGTGTGTGCTAATTATATTGTTTCGATTCGATGCTGCTACTGGAATCATCCCCCTGCCATGTTGGCTGCATTTACAACGTTGGTACAGGACGAGCTGTATTATAATAAAAACACCCCTCTCTTTTTTCTCCGAAAATTTTATTTTTTTATTTCGATACAACGTTGGTAGAGGACGAGCTTGTAAGAATGCATGCAACTGGGGCAGGTGATTAATTACGCACAAGTTTACAGCTATCCGAGCAAAATCAAGAATGAATTGAATTGGACAGCAAAACATATTAATCTTTAACAAAGTTTAATTTGGAGATAGCATGGAAATGTATTCATGTCAAAACAAAAGATGAAAAGAAAGGAAAAAAAGGTATCGAAAGTCCTTTTTATTCGGTTCTGTAGATGAAATTGAACAAACTTATCTAATAATTAATCAGTTGTTACATAACGAAAAATGGGATTTCTTTAATAATTTGGCCTGATTAAAGACGGCAGAGTCGAATGGGTAGGCCTTTCTGAGGCTCGGGCATCATATCTCCCTCGACTTTCTCGTTGGGGTCAACGACTTCCCACTTGTAATTCTTGACAACATTGTGAACGAAAGCCAGAATAGCGAGACGAGCGTATTCTTTACCGGGGCACATTCTGGGGCCACCGCCAAATGGAACGTAAGTGTAAGGAGGTGGGGCTTCACCTTCATCGTACCTTGATGGGTTGAATGTTTCCGGGTTCTTGAAATAGTTAGGGTTGGTGTTTGTTGTGCTCACAGTCCAATAAACCTGATGCATTATCATTTATTATGTATGTATAATTAGTTCAAAACTAAGATATATATGATGGCAGATGGATTAATATATGAAGAGATGCAATTGCAATTAGTGTGCTTATACATACATTATTACTGTATATAACTCTAAAAGACAGTTAAGTTAATCGAGTGGTTGGTTAGTTAAAATTACCTTCCAGCCCTTGGGAATAGTGTAACCGGCGTACGTGAACTCTGTAAGGACATCTCTGAAAGTACCCTGAAGAGGTGGAACCATTCTCATTGTCTCACATATTACATTCCACGTGTACTTCATTTTTCCCATGTCTTCCCATTCCAGCAATTCCCCTTCCTTCTTCTTCTTCCCTCCTGCTATCTCCATTTGCTCTGCATTATTTTTCATTCGATCATGATGAGTTGATAAATTTCATTAATTAATATAAATTCAAGAATTTACCTGCTCGAACTTTTTCGTATATTTCTGGATTTAATCCCACGTATTTCATCAAGAATGTCATTGTTGTAGCCACCGTGCTATACCCGGCGGTCAACAGTCCCATTATTTTGTCGGCGATCTCGGGTTCCGGCATGGATCTTCCACTCGGGTCTGTGGCGACAACCATGTGGGACAATATATCCTGCAACGGAGCTCCGGATGCCATCGCCGCTTTCTTCTCCTTTATCACAGCTATCAATTCTTTTCTGATCGCATTCGCCGCCTTATTTGCACGGTAAAATATTGTGCCCGGAATATTCAGCATGATGCAGTGCATCCCCACTGTGACGTCATCGAAGTATTTCACCAGCCGTGCTATTCGGTCCGGGTTGTTGATTCCCAGAAAAAAATGGCACGCGATAGTCAACGTTATAGTCTTCGCCAGAGGATGAACTTTGACCACGCTTTCCCCGCCGGCGAAATGGGTTTGCAGCTGTTGCTGTGTGATCAAATCCATTTTCGGCAAGAACCGCATCAGAGCTTCTGGTTTCAAGAACCCAGGTTGCCGGATTGCTTTCGTCTCGTCCGTGACTTGGGTTTGTGGTGGGGGCGCCGGAGCCGGAGCAGCCGCAGCCGCCGCCTTGTAGGAGCGGAATAGGTGCTGCATAGGGTGGGGGCGGAAAGCGGTGAAGTACTTGTGCTCGTTGGCGAAGAGGAATTTGTGGCCGTTAGGGCCGCAAATGACGGCGGTTTTCTCGCCCAGGATTTTTGTCTTGAAGATGTCCGGCGAGTACTTGTTCATCCTGTCGCCGACGAAATTTTCCGGCTTGCCGAACAAGAATTCGATGGTTTCGCCCATGATCGGCCAACCATAGCTTCCCGGCGGGAGGTTTGCACCTCTGCCGGAGCGGCGACGGCTGAGTAATACGAAAGTAGAGAGAGCAATAAAAGCTATAGAAAAAGCAAGAGACAACATTTCCATGACTGATTTATTTTTCACTTGCAAGAAATAAAGTTTGGTTGGGAAGTAAAAAGAATAGAAGAAAGGGAAGTTTGAGTTATGTAATCATGTGAAGGCAAATGCATTGCTTAAATACCAAATTAATCATCATTAATTAATTAATTAATAATACTAGTGGTTAGGCCGCCTGTATGCAGCAGACTTAATAAAACATGTTTATTTATGATCATCATAATCAAATTCCTCCGGGTCAAAATTACTATTACTTTCTCTTTTACCAGCAATGTGTTTTTCCTTTAGCTATTGGTTGGCGAAAACGTTTTTACATATTAATAATTGTTCATTTTCGATTTTTTTACAAATTATTATACAAGAAATATAAATTGCACTAATTAAGTGTGGAGTTGGGCCTAAAGAAATTGGTAGCAAATGGAATTAATAGAGAATATAGATGTAATGATGTATTTAGTCCACCAATATTTGTTTTTTGGTACTAGTAGTCAACAGTGTAGCACAATATTCCCACTTAGTTTATTTATGCATTCATATTGGCCTCGCATGGAACACACTTTTCCCAATGAAAAAAATGTAGTTAAAGTTCAAATAATATAACTAGATAGAATAAACATTTAGCAGTCACGTATGTATGCGTTTGTTTGAAGCTTCTAGATTATATATGGACTTTGTGTTTGTTTGAATCCCACAATCTCATGTCTGATGTTAATCACATGTTACAGAGAGAGAGAGACACCACTTGTAGAATTTACATGTGACAATGAGAATTTAATATTATGAGAATTAGTTCCATTTGCAGTATTCCTCTATCTCATAATATAGTCCAAAATACCCTTCCTTAATTAATATCTCAAAACTTGAAGTAGAAAGCTAGAAGGTGGCGCTCGGTGGTGGTTCACCAATTCTTTTCAAAATTAACAAAATCCACCTCCTCATCAATACATTATTTAATTACTACTTTTGAAAAACTAGTATTATTTGAAAAAAAGAGGGTGATGAATTTGAAAAATGAAAATTAACCAACAAAAAAAAATTCCAGTCAAAAAAAGTATGCCAAAAGAGAGCCATTTACATCATCAGCATTGAAAAGGGTCATAACAGATGAGCTAATTAAGCCCAGCAGAGACTTAATTACCCATATTCATATTTATTAGTCGTCCATAAACGACAAGAGAATCTTCTGGCTGTCCAGGATTAATATTCCTTTTCTTCTTTTAAGAATACTCACTAATCGTAGGTAGTACTGGAACAGTAAATTTTTACAACCAACAGATTTCATAAGCAATTACAACACAATATTAATTGTTTTTTATTTCTACTCTGGTGTTCCATTTCAACGACTTCACAAGCATATGTAGTAAGCTATGATGCACGGACACTTCTAGAAGGTGAAGAGTCTCCGTATCCGATACCTGGACACTCGGATACTCCCGGACACTTCTCGGACACCCGTGTCGGGCCGTGTCGTAATTTCGCTAAAAGTAGGACACCCGTATCGGGCAGTGTCCACAATTTTAAAAAAGTTGGGACACTTCTCTTACGTTGTAAAGGAGAGCTCTAATAAAAAAAATGCGCATTTTCTTTTCTTTGTAATACACATTTCCTCTGTTTTCTTTGTGAGTCCACCAAAAACTCCAAAAGTCTAGCATGCGACGGCGATCAAGAACACGAGCAACAAGGGCGAGTGGTTCTCTTATGCGATAACGACTTATACATATTTTTTACAATTTATAAATGTACCCCTATATTTTTATTATTTATAAATATACCCCTATATTTTTTATATTTACGTGTATCCCCCACGTGTCCGTATCCTAGTTTTTTGGAAATGCCGTATCACCGTGTCCGTATCCGCGTATCGCCGTGTCCACGTATCCGTGTCCGTGCACCATAGGTAGTAAGTGATAATCCTTCTAGATTATTATTATTATTATTATTATTATTATTATTATTATTATTATTATTATTATTATTATTATTATTATTGTATCTAATGAATATCGTACCCAGTAGTGGACTGGATTGTCACATGGGCTCTTTATCCTCTTTATCCCACAGTTTATTCACATGAGTGGTTTCCAGTGGTCAAAAACCTACTACGTATGCAATTTTTTTTTTTTATTATGTATTCCATAGCAATTTTAGACAAAAAGAAATTGAAGATATCACCCTCTATGCATGTATACCTAATTTAATTCACAACCGTGAACCACATTTAAATCTAACTTGTTCTGTCCCATCACAATGCCACAATATTCCAATTTCAAACACTTTACAGAAAAATGAATGGTCGAGGCAGTAAATGCGTTACCTACCGAGCAACGCAGGCCTCTGAAAAATGAAAGCGAATTTACACCATCTCTTAGTATATATTGAATTATAACGCAAAAGACTTGCATAAAAGGAGACCCGAGGCAAAACCGGACATCACTATTACTCCCTTTTATTCTTTCCAGTGCAAAAATGAAACAGAAAATAATACACAACCTGCTACAAGAAAGAATACATTGAAGCTAAATTCTGTAACAAACACGCACGCTCGCACAACTCCCAGCAATTGAATCTGGCAGACTTCCACTACTGCATAATTAGACCACATTCAGAAATGCAAGACATGTAAAAGAAATATGAGCTTCAAAATGCAGTTGTCATTATGGGCTTTCAAAATTAATATGGTCATGAGCAAAATTTATTCATCATTAGGTGGTTTGGTTGTTCAGAGCAATATAACCATGATAGAGCCCTTCTTGTTTTCTGTTCCTGATAGCATCATGTATAAAAACACACTCAAACTAGAAGACTAAATTATTTTCTCTCGTCTTAACATGTTGACTATTGGTATACGACATATGGAGATGGTTATATGTTTCAGACTGTAAATTGTCATACAACAACACTATCTGTTACCTCTTACCTCATTTCAAGGATACCAACTCGACCCACAATCTTCTTTGAATACACAAGTCTTCATCCAATAACACAAATCTCGTCACAAATAGTCTATTCACCAGATTCAGAACCAAAATTTTGTGCCAGGAATTCATCAAGTTGCCCCCAGTTTTGAGGACTGGATTTACTCGGATTTTCAGAAGGTAACGATCTGATGCATCCAAGTACATGCTGGACTTCGCAAAGAAGACTGAAAATGATAATACAAAAAGATCAAACAGCATAAGCAAACGGAAGATATACGTCGTTGCTATTGTGGTTTTTTTTTTTCATGAGAAAGAGCATCAATTATGAAGTTAAATCATCATTTCAGCACCATGAAAGAAACATTATAGCATAGTATAGCCAAAAACCACTTTGACACCAAAGCTATATCATTGGTGACAAATTGCTACCTACACTAATTCAAATGTTTCGACTTACATACGAATTCAACGCAATTTACAAATTCGTAACCAATGGATCGTTTTCTTCCCATGCTCACTTTGACATTTCCCATAAAGACCTAAAAGCAACCTCATGCACCAACAAATTTGAAAGTGTACTTTAAGAAATTAGCGTATTACATGGCTAATCTGCCAAGACTCTTCAATATTTTTCTTCATTTTATTTGGCAACTTATCCTGGTTCGCATGTTTTACTTGAGTTTAGATACTCAAGGGCTAATTAAGATCATATCTGCTATTGAGTTTCTTTTGAAATTAGATCAAACATACTTAGTACAATGAAGAAAAAGTTCATAAATGCGGACAACTGTGTATGACACCAGACGGCCAGAAGTATTAATATCTGCTCATTTATGGAGTGAACATGGGATCAAATTGGGGGTGGGATGAGGTGGGAAGATAGGAGCGATTTGTGGGAACCAATAAAGCATTTACAGAAACATGTATACGATTTCAACATGAATAACAAATTTTGATACCAAAATGCTTTATTTCCTTCAGAGGGTATAGCTTGGTAAATTATGACGGTACCTGCGTTTCGCTTGTGGAGTGCTGATTTCCAACCGTGAGAATGCATCATAAATTTGAGAGTGCAAAATTATAACCACTTGCCTGCAGTAGAATGTGAAATAGGAATCAACCAGCAGGTTATTTGATGAATACTTTTTCTTATATTTTGCCTTGTACTCTGATTTTACCATGGAAAATAGCCTAGCCTAAAGAGGAAGCTGCATATGCAAATCATGAATGTGCACGCAAAAAAATATACTGTGTACAGCAGAAGCTAGAGTACCAAAAAATAAAAAATAAAAAAGAATTAACAAAGCTATGGAATTACCCAAAAATAACTTGCACGTCCTCTTCATGAAGGTGTTTAGATAACGTACGCAGAAGATATCCAACCTCCTGTATCAGTAGTGGGACAAGAAGAATCAGTAAAAGGATACAGCTTTTGTTCAAAACCAGGATTTCAGAAAGCATCAAACACAAACACCAAAAGGAGAAAAGATCTATTTTATCTTGTCAGAACTAAACCAGAACATGGAGAAATAATGTGAGTCTTTTGTCAACAGAAGCATAATGATGGGTGAGGGATAAAAATTAAAAAGTGAACTATTGTGTCACCCTAGATTTCTTTTCAGTAGTCTCATCCCCCACCTCTCTTCCCTATTCATCTTCCATCAAACAATGCAATTTGTCAACAGTCACAGACAGAATTCGATCAGGGAGAAGGTGGATGGAGAGCCAATCTATAATAATTTATTCAGTCTTTCAGTAAGATCAATTAGAGTATAAAGTGATAGTACTAGCTCCAAATGATTTCTAATTTTCTTGTTGATGGTAGTACTAGCTCCAAATGATTAGTCACTTTGCGTCTCTCTCTTTTTTGGGATAATGAACTATTAGAAAACATACATCCTCTATCCGAAATCCAATATTTACTGCTCGTTGAGACGCCCAAAATCAGGCTCTATTCGTAATATGGATCATCTTTTCCAAGAGAATCCTCTCACTTAAAAATTATGACACCACTCATTCTCACTCACTGTGTTAAGCTAATATTGTAAAGATACTCAACATCTATTTTCAACTCCGACAAACTAGAGAGTTAAAGAATGTACCTTGGTGAGAGAGCGAGCAAACTGACTAGGTTGTAAATCAGTGTCTTCGGATCTATTCCAACCCTCAAGTATTTGTGGCAAACTACGTAGATGAACCAACAATCTTTCTCTCATTATCTGAACCAGCTTCGAATGAATCTCATCGCGGTGGTTTTTATAATCCTGATAGTATGGAAAACAGACAGCTGTAATAAAGCATAAATAAGCGAAAGCAATAACAATCAAACACTTGTGAAATATACAACATAAAGATTGATTTTCACTTGCACCAACTAAAAATGAACAAACAGAATTTCATGCAAGTTTCCCAGTATAAACAATCTGAAAAAATTTCAAGATTAAATCGGCTTATATTTTCTTTCCTTAAAAGTTTCTTGTGATTTTTTGGCATCTTAAACCTCATTGGAAATGAATAAGCAAAAGGGATGTACATGCATGTGTAAAAAATAACTATACAAGGATTCACCATTAGGGATTTACTAATTGTATTTGATGTGCCGTATACCATTCTCAAGAATATTGTTGATTTGAAGTGTACTCACATAACAAGAAATATGGACAATCAATTTTTGCGTATTTTTGTTTCCTTTTAGATAACCAATAAAATTCAAATTTGAGCTTAGAGAAGAAAATAGAAAAGGATCATTAAGTTATAGCAAAAGAATGAGATTTGCCCTCTATATGTAGATCTGCCCTCTATAATATCTGTGAAGTTATTAGACAATCAAAAGAAATTACTGACCCTACAATTGGAAAAAGAAAAATTGGACCCAAAAAGAGGCCCAAAATATTAACAGAAATTCTCAATTTCTATTCTGATGTTTATTATCATTGACACGTGCCATTTTTGCATACCCTACATCACTTTTGTTTTACAACAAGAGACTGGCACCAAATCTAAGCTAGAGCTTTATAAATTGTCAGCCGATATGAGATCAAATAAGGAAAATTACTTAGTTTAATGAAACAATGACTGAGCTAACATTTATCAAGAAACAGCATCTTTTGTTGGTACAAAGATTTCTTCAAAATGGGGTGGGTCAGGAATGACAGGAAAAATCACGATCAGGGAATCAGGAAACTCTATTAATAATGATGCCAGCATGATAATGTTCAGTAATGTGTGAAGATAGTCTATAAGAACAATATTTTTCACCAAAAATCCTTACTGTTGCTACTCGGTCGAGCTCTGACTGCAATAGCCCTTTATACGTCTCGGGCACTTTGAACAAGAGACTTCTCCTAATTTCTTGAGATAGCCATGAAAAAATTTACGTAATTAGAACGGCCACCAACTACTATTATTTAACCAAAGAAAAAGAGAAGGTATAACAAACATAACAATGACATTCCAACTCAAAAGAAACAGTTGTAATGCATCAGAGTGCTAATCAATTTGATACCAGAGTTGAGATTTCATATAGAGTAATTCCTATACCATTACAAAACATGAGAAGAAATTGCAAATACAAAACCAAAAATGGATACAAAGAGTAGGGTATATGTAGTCTATGGTAAACATTGGAGCATGAATGTACATAAGCGCATAGATATATTTAGACGGAATTGTTATCTAAAAGTTTATGTTAGCAAGTTTATGAGCATAACAAAGGCTTTTCAGTTATATAATCTCAGATATGGGGTTAACCATTTTTCTTGTGATCCCAACAATGATAAGATAGAAATGACATTTAAACTTACAAAACATGATAGTAAATATTAGCTACTATTCATAACCACCTACCAGGTAAGATCGCATACGTGAAACTTATCACCTGACTAGCCATAGCCAAGTGTCTAGCAGTAATTGATCTCAAACCAGACACCTGTAGCCAAATAGGTTTAGCAAAAGGGCAAAATAAAATAACCAGTTAGGAAGTTCAACAATAGAAGCAGTAAAAATCAGACTCAAATAAATTATAGGGTATATTACATAGACCACGTCATGGTTTGATTCAAAAAGAAAAAGTTACAAATACAAATACCCACATCACATTTGTTTCTATCATGGAAATTGCACCAACTGAATGGGGTGTCTGTAAAACAAACATAAACCTCACTAGGGAATTTGTTATTCCAAAAGTCAGCTGATGGCTGGTAACCAGGCAAACCTCGAGGACAGTTTTTATAACATAACCTAAATTATTACACACATGGATAGCCTCACTCAACTAGAAAGGCTGATCACACAAAATAATGCCACTTCATATTCATATCTAAACCGTATCTCGTAAACACAGATTCAACTTATATCAACATATTGAAAATTCCTATTTCGCAAGGTCCTAAGATCCCAAAATTTATATCTGATTTAACAAACTTGCAACTCAAAAAAGATGCAGGAGCATGCAACAAAAAGTTACTTTTTAAAACTAGGGTACAAAGATTAATGCTTCTGACGTCAAATAAAACATCAATCGCTTGAAAGATTTTAAGAATGGTACCTGCAAGGCATTCGCTCCAAGAACAAGATGAGCAGTCCTTGAATTGAATAACTTCAAGATCTCAGCGACGCGATGAACTACTTCCGCAGATAGAGTTGGCAAACAATTATTCATATCTATGTACTCTGACATCATCTTCACCAAATATAAGCCACTGAAGCAGCATATACAGAAATAAGCACCACGGAAATAATTATAGTATTTGAGATGATGAACATTCAAAGAGTGGAAAAATAAGTCACTGAAAAAATAAATCAACTTTTCAGCTAAAGACAGAGATGCAAACCCCTAACCATGTGGTACAAAGAATCTGCTTGGGCAGTTTGCTAATTCACAATTATTTTTTTTGGTTCTATAGTAATAATTAAAAAAAAAGGGAAGATAAGTTCATTATGAAGTAAACAAAACAAGAAATCATGAGTCCTTACCAGTTAACCATGTGATATCCAACACCTCTAATATAAAGCATTCGAAGGGCAGATTTTCCACGTTCTTTCACACTGGCACTGTTGTCGTGAGAGGAAGTACTGACATCAGAATTGGTGTTCTCAGGTCCCACACTCAAGCGCGCTGAATCTGTATTTGGCATATGATCAACAGCCCCATTAGAATCTGGCTGACCAATATGTTGCGATGAATTTGTTGGATCAGCAGCTGTCATGGAGGAACCCTCGCTGCTTGAGACCACTTCATTAGAACTTGATGTATCATCAGAAGCTGCATAGCTCTCTCCAGCAGTTACAGATTCTGACGAACACAGTGAAGTGACAATGCTCTGAAATTCATCTGGAACATCTATCTCAGCCCAATTTTCTTGGTCAAGTAAAGCCTTCATCTTAGCCATCTGTGACAACCAACACACAAGTTAGTCTTCGACTCATGAGCAGGAACCTGGTAAATGCAAAAAGTTGGCTGGAAGGGAAACTCACTCGAGACTCATGCTGAAATTCAATGAAAGATTTAGCTTGCGACTGTAATGTTCCGCGAATACTATATCCCAATCTTCCACCAATCTGTTTATGTCAGCATAATAAGGTACCATAACCACACCAACAAACAGGGGTCCTTTTAAAAACAGCATCAAACTATAAGAAGTAGCACCTACCTTCTCAGTTGAACTAATAAAATCCTGACTAATGTTATAAACACTCAGAAATTCCTGCAGCTTCAGTTTTGGGTGAATTTGAGAGCGGATTCCAACAATTTTCGCCCATCTTCCATGAGCAGCATCACAAGCAGCAAACAAAGCTTCTGCATTCTCTCTTAAAATATCAGCTCTGCCCAAACAAAGAAAAAGGATCTCAAACTTCAGCTCTGCATAACGTATAGCTAATGTAACACTTTTAAAAAGTAATACTTCACAACAATGACCTCCCTAAACTATAATTTCTATGACTTGCCCCCTTAACTTTCATTTCAATTGTTTATGCTAACCACACATTTTGATATTAAGAGAGAAGTAAGCAAGCTGTAAGAAAACTACTGTATGAACAGGATATTTGCCACCCAAGTCAGACTAACAGGAAACATGCTTGCGAATAAATACAGGAAAAGGAAAATAGTTACCGGAAATTTCTTGAAAGATTTGAGCTTGCAGTATCATATCCTCTTCCCTGGATAGAGGTGAGTCTGGAAGCATTTTGCGAAGAGTGTGGCGAAAAGGAACTAGCATGACCATCTGTCTCTTGTGCTATTTCTGGAGCTGATGCACCATGTGCGATGGCAGCAGCAACTGAAGCAGCAGCATAATGACCATTGAGATTGCCCATAATCCATTCAATTGCTCTTTTGACCTCAGAAGCCCGCAGTAAGTGTGTCTGCATTCACTAAAAGAAAAGAATTAAGTTACGCCATGCCAGTATTAGGATAAGTTGCTCTAAGCAAATATGAAGATAAGATGTGTCCATGGTCATATCTACGGGCAGACAGTCGCATAAGCTATCAGTAGTCTATGCTGCAATGAATGTCCTTCTAAAGAAATCACTCTTTAGAATGATTATATTACCAAGTAAAACAAAATGCATACTCTATGAACAAATTTTTAGCATATCTCGTAATTTGACATTCAAAATCGATTTCATACCTCTAAATTAAATACTAAGGACCCTAGTTGCTTGCAACTAACAATCTAAAATCACAAGCCTGTCGATTAATAGACACATGTCCAATGCGAAGGAGAAACTAACTAACACCCATTTAGTATAGTTTAAGCCAAGAAAAAGAAGGAACAGAAAAGCTTTTGATACATGATCTTCCAGCAACAGTAAAAAATTGAATTAAGTTAAAATAAACAACACTTATCAGTCCCCAGATGGAACAAAATGTACACAAGCACAACATCTTTACTGACAAACTTCACAATGTTATAATCTTCTGCTGATTTGAAATGAACTCGTTAGTCCTAAATCATGCCCCATGGATCAGGCAGGTAGTCTGTATTAGATAACTTATAATCCCTATTCAATTTAAATGGAGAGAAAATTACACAAATACTCAAAATATCCTAAAAGAACTTCACATTCTTATTTGTTTTGGTTTATACACATGCTAGTATAGTCTTGAAGGAGTAACCAAAATTGCCAAGCATACATTACCTGCACTATCTTGAAAATTTCCTCCAAAAGTTTCAAAAAGCTGTCGGTCGATAAACTTTTCAGCCTCGTTCCTAGTGATGAGCCTCCACCTGAGTCAGCAGAACAGAATGAGATGGGTTTAAAAGTTAAGGAGTTCTGATAAGAAAAATAACATACGATGGGAAGAATTCCCACAGTGCCAATTATGGTTTTTGAGTACCAATTTCAAGTGAGAGGGGGGAAAGAAAGAAAAAAAGACAACTCACTTTCTGGCGCAAATGATCAAATTAAAACTAAACCTGACTTTCAGCAGAAATCATGTATATAAGAAGTGCATGTGAACCCACCATCATTATCCACAATCCCTTCTCCAGACATAGAATTTGATTCCAGCGGCATATTTAGAACTGTCGTCTTCACAGAAGTCTTTATATCAGAAGCAAGTGTATCACGATATAATCTCAACACAGCTGGTAATTTTCCCTGAAAAACAAAAGGTCGTAATATTTTATATCCAACTTATAAATTTGTCTATTCACACTACAAATGTCCAGAAATGCACCTACGTCTGTCAATAAGCTAGAAAGCACACACTGGAAAGGATTGCTTAAAGAATTCAGAAAATAAAGATATAGTCAGTCTAACAGATAAATACAAAGTGACTCACTGTTCTAAGCAATCCAATGATAAGAGGGAGAAGCTGATCTTGAAAATTAGTGGTTTGTTCTTCCTCCAGTCTAACCTGAAACATAGGAATGTGAGTCTTCAACAAAAAGCCAGTCAGAAATGTACATCATATTCCAGCAAACAAAGCAAATAATGATGGCATGAAACAATATTTCATGATCAACAAAAATGCATAGTGCAATATAATTGCTGAGATACATTAGCATGGTGTAATTAAAGAGCATGAAACGTAAAGATAAGAACCTCGGTCATAAGATGAAAAGAATGACAGATCAAGTCCAACAAAATTGATGTAAAATATAGAACTCAGTTTACATGAATTAGCTAGTCAAACGATAATGTATGCTAGAAAAAAAGAGGTGACGTTGCAGAGTTTTAAAGTTCGGCAGGTTTAACAATTCAAGGTTACAAAACAAGTTGTATATGTTTAGTTGGTATATGTATAACTCAAGCAACAATTGAAATTCAAACTTCATTACTAGCTAGAAAAATGAATAAACAAATCACCCTAGTACATCCTTTTTTAACCAAACAGGGTAAGAGATGGAGTATAAGAATACAGCTTGTATAAAATCCTAATCTGGAACAAAGAAAGGAAATGATTGAATCATAAAATAAAATGCCTGCAATAATAGATAAATTAATAAAAATAGGAAGTCTTACTCCATCATATCTGCCATTGGAGTTGAAGGTAGACATTGCTACTGATAAATCCACATTTTCGGTACCCCGCAAAGATGTGTGAATAAATTCTGCTGAAAGAATGCTACAAGAATGAATATGATAAGTCAAAATATCAAGCTACTTCATGTTGCAATTCCATAATCAAAACGCACATGTTCGAAAGTAAAATGCACAATATCATGAGAGGGATAACCCTAATGAGACAAATCAGAAAAGCTACACCATTTAGATAAAACTTGCATACAAACCAAATCAATGTCAAGTATATTGATTAAATTTAAAAAAAAAAAAAAAAGTTTATATTTGGAAGGCTTTAGTAGCTCCTAAGAATTAGGGAAGTGAAAATTTTAACAAGCGTCCGGGTTTCAGCGAATCAGCTACAATAAATCTATCACTGTTTCCAGATTGACTTCATTACATCAACTATGTTTTCTTTTGATCATGACATAACGTGTATAATTCAGATACCTCTGTAATATAATTCAGAATCTTAACCAAATGAGGCACAACTGAATTGTCATCCAGCAAATAGCTTTAAAGACTTCAAGTAACAGCCCATGCCTTAATTACTGACTGCCACAAAACGCAACCGAGAAAACCAGGATTTTCTAATTTATTATAGTCAAATGGTCGCTATGGTTCAGATGAATAACGATCTCTACCGATTAAAACTCGGTCAGGCATAAATACAGCAATCTTATGCCTCAACAGCATTGAAAAGAATAAAAAAAAATCACAACAGACACCGTCTTAAAACAAGAATGGACTAACCTATTAATTGAATCTACGGAAGTTGTTACATGGTCACGAAGATGACGAAAGCAATGCAAACCAATCAGTTCGTCCCCATCCTATTAAAAGATGTGTCAGTTATCAGATGGTAAATAATATCTGATAGATATAAAATCAGTTATTAGGCTTAAATATTGAGAATGTTGTTGGTGTAATAATATACAGTTAAAAGCATGGAATGTTAAGGAAAAAAGCATAAAACAGAACATTAGTTGTGGGCATACCAATATATGCTGCAGGTCATCGGTAATATCTAGTGCTCCAAGACAATCTGCAGATGCAACCAGCTGCAAATAATCGAAAATGAAAATAGTAAACTGAAATGAACTTGTACACTTGCCCAGCTACAAATGAGACAATTAAACTCAACGTCTCGATTGACCGAATATCCTTTAGTTTAAATGATTTGTGAAAAAACTACACAAATTGCAGAAGTTTATGGACTTCACTTTCATATTAGCATACTCGCTCATTCAACAGCGCTACTACCACCGTGTGGCATGAGGTAAATGATACACCAAGCCACGGATTAAAAAAAGAATGAAAACAAGCTCTGCTGCAGCATTATAACTTTTCTTAAATATATATTTACTTCTTGAAAATACCCTCTTCCTTCAAGTCATGGTGTGATGACCCCAATAATTACTAATGTGCTCAAAACAACATTCACTGACTTCTTCAATCCTAATCTAAGACTCCGTGCCTAATCAAACTAAACAAAAATCTTCGAACGAAGGGGTATAGACTGAAATTAATGACACTCGTGGGATAGAGGAAATATAGATTACCAATTGAAGAGTGGAGACAGCCTGATTGACTGACAGCACAAGCCTTAGTTTGTTCTGCAGTGTGATCAAATCCCCACGCTTCATGCTAAACTCCTGCACTCTCCTAGCCGAGCCCACCAAATCGGAATCCAAAAGCCTGATTGTCTCTTTCAACTCCCTGACTCTTCCACACCCTTGGACAATCTTTGCACTTAAATCCTCCAATTGCACCTGAGCTTCAAAAAACGAGCTCGATCGCATGGAAATCTCCTTCACCAAATGCAACTCCACAACATCCAAATACTGAGACAATCTCTCCTGCAATGCAACGTTCTCCGACATAGTTCTGAATGGGCACGCAGCTCTGAAAGTGGCGCCATCCTCCAATTGGAAATCCTCTTTGAAATATAACGCGGGAACCTCCCTCAAGCACGCCACCAGTGCCTCTCCCGGAGAGCCGCCGGTGAAATGACCGTCCTGTCCCTGGTGATCCCTATCGTGCTGTCTGAGGATGTCGACGAAACGAGAGTGAGATTCTGAGACGGAGGAGAGGTAAGGCAGGAAATCCGATCGGGTTAGTTCAGATCCGGGTTTGGGCGCAGTGGGCAAGGGGGAGAATTCCGGTAGGGGAACGGCTGTCGACGATGACCACCAGCTCGAGACGGAGGAGGAAGAAGGATTAGGGTTATTGAGGATGGAGGAGAAGCTCTGGCTGCTGGAGTCGGCGATTGATTTAGACAATGAGGATGTCGACGTGTAACTCGAGGGTTTCTTCGAGTTTCCGATCGGAGATTCCGGTAACCTTCTCGGTGAAACAGAAGGCGGCGAGTCCATCGATTTTTCGAGATCCGGGTAGGAACGGATGCTCTATGGATATAGCATGTAGAGGGAATATATATTGCCAAAACCCCAATAAAGAGTCCAAAATACTTGAGACCAAGGGATGTGATCTCGATCCTTGAGAATGGAGATCGGAAAAAATGGAGAAAGATGTTAGAGTAGAAGAAGTGAAGGCCTGGTGGATCTCTCTGTGTGTGCGTGAGTGTGTCTGAGTGAGAGAGAGAGACGGGATTGACCCGTTTTGGTCGAAATCCGAACCCGCTCGTACTATAAATCTATCACCTCCCCCCAAATGTTTCAGGAGTTTGTGCAATGGCCCAGTATAACTTTTTAAGGGTGGTATAGACCAAACATTTTTTTGTTAATATTTTGTTTAACAAACATAATGAATGTAGTTCTAATAATATATATTAAATGTGTTTTAAATAAAAAAAATGGGTAAATTATGAGTGTGATTGATTGGGTCAAATTTGCATCCTAAACACCTTTCTTCGAATCCTACTTAATCGATAGTTAGAAAAGCTCACATATCGCCGGACTTAATACCGGTGGAGACGAACAAGACGAATGGAAAATAATAAAAGGATAGAGAAAATTCCAATAGTTTTCGGATCAGCTCGTCACCTACCACACCTCATTTGCCCTTATATAAGTCATACCGAGAATATATGATGAACTCTCCTTGTTCTACTTATATTACTGAATTATTACCAGACTAACTCCATACTTGTAGAGTGATCTCTTGGTTTTTCTTAATTCTTCGTGGTTTATTGGATGTATAATTTGGTCCCGGACTATCGATACCAAATTAAGGGTAAATTTCATTTTCTCCCTTGTACTTTGATTCGATATCACTTTACTCCATGGACTTGAAAAATTGTCCCAATGAAGCCGTTGCCGTTAGTTTTTAGACATTTGACCTTAACGCCGTTTGATCTAACTGAAAATTACAAAAAAACCATCCCTCCCATTTAAATAACTTTAAAAAAAATTGTGGTTGGCGTCGTAGACTATGTTTTCTCGTTCTCTTGAATTTTTTATTATTTTATTATTTGTTTTTTTTTATTGTTTTTTTAATAATTATTTAGACTGGGTGAGATGGTTTTTTTATAATTTCATAGCTTAGATCAAACGGTGTTAAGGTCAAATGTTGACAATTAGCAGCGAGGGCCACATTGAGACAATTTTTCAAGTGCATGGGGGCAAATTGATGCAGTCGAGAGTAGAAGGGGGTAAAGTGATACATAGCCAAAGTACAAAGATGGAAAGTGTAATTTTCTCTAAATTAATTCAGGCCTATTTGAGGTAAATGAGATGACTCACTGTTTAATTGGGCCTAATAGATTATTGATTTAATGGAGAGAAAGCCCGTATGAGAAAGCCCAACATTAATATCCGATATCTTTTTATACTGACTAATAAGCCCGCCCAAGATCTCCTAGTAATTTTATCACCAATCAATTAGACGTTATGGATAATTAACAAATCTAAGTTAATAAAAAAACAAATAAAATAAAACAGTTAAATATCACCAAAATAGAACAGCGTGAACTGTGAATTCACTGAATTGAGAAATGCGATCGACTTTTCTTTCTCCTTCTTTAAATTTATCTTTTTTAATTATGAAATTAGCAATACAAGCAATCTTTTTATTTCATATATTTATATTTAAATTATATAATTATGGAAATAATTTATAAATCCCTAAAATTGCAGCAGGGATACAGAAGGGCATGTTGGTCAATGAATTACAACGGCTACTAAGATCGTGGCCGTTGGATACGCAATAATCGAAGCACGCTCCTCGAGGTAAATAGTTGCCCCCCCCACCCCCATTTCCAGTTTCCAGTTTGAGAGTGAGAAATCAAGAACATACTTGTTTTGTTCTCTCTCCTTCCATTCTTAAAACGAATTAATATTAAATCCCTGAAAAATACTCCGCCGTCAGATCTCCCCAGAGGCACAGACATCAGCTTCTTAGAGAGGGTTTCTCTTGCTAAAATGAATCTCAACATCTTCAAGAAGAAAACTTCGCCTAAAGGTACCCCTTTTATTATTTTTCCTCTTTAATTTCTCGGTATGATTTTACTACTTGTTATTCCATGCTAAGCCTTGTTGGGGATGTAATTAATTTGTTTTTTGCAGAGGCGCTTAGAACCAGCAAAAGGGAAATGGCTGTTGCCACAAGAGGTACTTTTTATCTATACATTGTTTTCTAGTTACCCTTTGATTTCATTTTTAATTTATTTTATGGATAGTTTACAATACTTCTCCGAAGCCTCAACTTTAGATATCCTTTAATTTCATGTCAAACTTTTTGTCTGTCCTGTCCTAAATCTAAATCAAGCCTGATATACGAGTGATTTAGTATACAAAAATCATCATTCTATGCGTTATATTTAATAATCCATCTGCCAAGGACAATGTCTTCATCGGCATTTCAAAAGGGCATGTCAATTAGATGAAACACACAGTCGGGTGAATTTGTTGATTTTTGATGTTTTTAATTGTCTGATGTTTGTCGATAGAAGTTGATAGTGATGCTTTTATTTCGTTATTTTGCTTCTTTTCACAAGTTCTAGGTCAACTGATTACATGGTTATCCTATGTTGATAGCTTTAAGTGTTTATAAATATTTGATCCTATGCCTTTTCTGATGCTAATTCTGTTTAGTGGTCTTTCATGTGACTAATGTTCGAATTCACAAATTGCATGAAATAATAATTTAAAATGTTAGAGTTCACAGTCTGCAATTAAATAATTTTAAACTTGTCTGCAATGTAGTTAAAATCGAGATTTAAATCGTAAAATCGTAAGACTTTAAGATTTTAGACACTGATAAGGAGTAAGATCGCACTAAAATCGCAGGTGCCTTCAAATCGTGTGAAATCGCGTTCAAAATCGTTAAAAATGCGATTTTAGTGCGATTTTGGCCTCATAAATTCAGTTTTTCAACTAATATTTCTTAGCCAATTACCAAATAATCCAGAATATATAAAGCTCAGCCCTGCCCTAAAATAACAATCTATCACGACGAGAAGAAAATACTTCTCTTCTGCTAAAAAAACATCCAGCGGTTGTGAGTGTCAGTTTTAGTTATCTTATGTTAGACTATGTTTAATTAATGTTGGAATGTTTTATATATTTTAGGACATTTAATATATATTATGACTTATTTTATTTGTGTTACGGGTGTTTTCTAAGTAGTAAGTACTAAATATATTTATTTTGCAATACATGTAAAATCTTACGATTTTACGATCTCGATTTTGACTACCTTGCTTGTCTGGACTGAGCTATTATCTGTTTCCATTCTCCACAAATAAACCTATGTTTTCATTGTTGAAAATAGGTGTATAATATGTTCCTGTGCAATTTTTTTATTTTCTATACCTAAATTTTGTATTAATCTAACAGGCGTTGAACGCGAGATTTCATCTTTACAAATGGAGGTATGTTATTATTTATCACTCGACAGTCGACTATCGATCTTAATTCATCTACTTGCTTATGATAGTCTAACTAGAAAGATCACTGTTATCTGCAATTGTTTAGGAGAAGAAATTAGTAGCAGAGATCAAGAAAACAGCTAAAACTGGAAACGAGGCAAGTTTTCATAAAAAATAGTTGGATTTTTGGTTATATCCTAGGTTACCGCAAATTCATTGACACATGTGGTTTTCTTGTCCTAAATAGGCTGCCACTAAAATATTAGCTCGTCAATTAGTTCGGCTGAGGCAGCAAATAACAAACTTGCAGGGAAGTCGTGCCCAGATCAGAGGCGTGGCAACTCATACACAGGTCGGTCATTTCATACTTGGTGAAAAATCAAATTAAATAACTACAAATTGGTTCCCGATCCTGACATATTTAGTACTCATTATCTTGATTAGCAGTGCCATTTTTTTATTTTTTTTATTTTTGTTTTTTGCTAACTTTACAGGCTTTGTACGCCACCACTTCAATTTCAACGGGTATGAAAGGTGCAACCAAAGCTATGACTGCTATGAACAAGGTACATGTTCGAAAAGCACGACTTACTTTTTTATAACAAACCATCTTAGTCAGTCAAATCCAATTTACTTATGTTTTATTGGTCCAGATTTTAATTATCTGATATTTCTATGTGTTTCCGTTTCAGCAAATGGAACCTGCAAAACAAACAAAAATGATCAGAGAATTCCAGAAACAGTCCGCACAGATGGACATGACGGTAATTTTTTGCGTTAAAAAATACTAGGTAGATCAAGAACGTGAACATTCTTGAAGAAAATCAAGAATCTGATTCTCTGTTTCAGATTGAAATGATGTCAGAGGCAATCGATGAGACCTTAGACAAGGATGAGGCTGAAGAAGAAACTGAGGAACTCACTAACCAGGTTCCGTAATGAATCCATTAAGCCTCATGCATTATCCTCCGTTTTTTTTTGTTTGAAAGTCAACTGACGTATATAACTTTTTTTATGAATTCAAATTTTTTTTTTCTGTAGGTGCTAGATGAAATCGGTGTTGACATTGCATCACAGGTTAGCTTCTCTCTTAACTCACACGCGGATTCGATAATCCTCTACTTACAAATTGATGCTATAAACTGAAAAAATGAATGATCGAGCTTTTATTTACTTTTTCCATTTCAACAGTTATCTTCGGCTCCAAAAGGACGGATTGCATCAAAGAAAGTCGAAAATGCCCCTAGGTATGAATTCTTGTTCCTTTGGAGTAAATAATTCAGTTATATAGATAGTTACATGATATGTGTGAATTCAATTATTCTTGTTCACAGTGCTGCTGCATCGACTGATGTGGATGACCTCGAGAAAAGGCTAGCTTCTCTGCGACGTATATGATGACTCTGAAAACATCATAATACTTGTATTATATATAGTAGTCCTCTACAAAAAAAACATTTCATGTGTACTATATATATTATAACTAGTCTATCAAATACTTGAACAAACAAACAGGGTTACAAGACATTTACTCTATTATTGCTTATTATTGTTTATTTATTTATTCCAATGGTGTAGATGTGGATGTTTGAATTAGGATTTATTGTATGATTACATACAAAACTTAACTGAATGAGTTATCTATGTCAAAAATAATTGAATGAGAGCTACTGCAAGTGGAGCCACAGAAAAACAGAGGAGGAGCCGATCGAGCCACCAAAAGCAAATTCTCCTGCGCTCTTGGTCAACATATTACATACGTATATGCTAGTACTTTATTCCGACATAATAACGTAACAGCCCACATTCTTTTAATTTGTTGAAATTTGAAAGAATATATTTGACAATTCTGACACACCATCCAACCTGCGTGCACTGCAGGGGTTTAATTTGTACTAATAATAATTATTATTATGAGGTAGGTCCGATCCCAAGAGAAGAAGAACAAGAATTAAGAATACCGTATTACCATCATCATTTTATCAAACATCATATGGTAAAAATGTATATAATTATATTAGAATTTACATGAAGAATGAAGTATGATATATAGTTGTTGGATGGCATTAATTAATTATAATATTGTTTGCGTAAATAAATAAAGAAGATGCACTACCCGCCCCGACAAGGCTTCACTCTCAAAATGATAAAGCAACCCTTCTTTACTCAGACACCATCAAAAGTTGAATCTGAAATAAAGCATTCAAAAATTGCATGCTTAGCTTAGCTTGGAATAATAATATATATCACTGGAGAGAATAATACGTACAGTTAATATACAATGATGCAATTGCATGCATCCCAAACAATTCATTACATTTTTTTTCCTCTCTCTACTTTTTCTTTTCTTTCTAATAATTAATAAACAAAGAAATGAAGCTTGCGATTATTTATTTATCAATTTTTCTCTTTACTAAGAAACAAGATCTTTGACCAAATATATATTCTGTAAAGTTTTTCCACTTCCAAGTTGAAAAAGTTAAGGAAATTAAATAAAATATATAATATAATTTGATTTGATTTGATGAATCATCTTTATTATATTGGAGGAGCATTTACCTAACGAAAAAAAAGGTGGAATATATATATAGTGGTTTCATTGTCGGCAAAAGGAAATGATGGAGAAACACTGGCCGGAGGTATATATCATGATTATGTTAAAAGCACAAAAAAGTGGTGGAATATATATTGCAATATATATTATATATATATAATCATGTGATATATCGATCGCCTTTTAGAATTAATTAAAATGATATATATATCTTTTTATGCATGGCAAGTAAATCAACATAATCACACATCTATAAATCAGCTCCGATCCTCCTTCAACTCCACATATCACACAAGAATAAGATCATATTTATTATAAGCTCTCTCTCTCTCTCTCTCTCTCTCTCTCTCTCTCTCTCTCTCTCTCTCTGCATATATTTGTGTGTGTGTGTGTGTAGAATATAATTTATAAGGTGAGCTAGCTAGCTAGGGGAAGAGGGAAAGGTGAGACGGAATATATATGCCTGGCTCCCTGTATGCCACACGGCAACGTCAATCCGGCAGATGGATCGGCGGAGGCGGGCGGCGTATGAGGAGCCAAGCATGTTGTAAACCGCCGTCGTCATACCCTTCACCCTCTTCCCGCCCGGTTATAAGTGTTGGTGCTAATTATTTCAATATATTTTATATATGTATGTATGTATTATTTTCTATTTTGGAATTAACTTCCAGTTGCAGGTATATCAAGTCACAGTTGAAAGGTCAAGCGTCTCTGATCATGAAGTCAAAGCCAATTTTTTTTCAAATTCTATTTTTTTTTTTTTTCTAATTTCAATTTTTGAAAATAATTCCCAAAAGAATAGTTTTTTCTAAAATTATATTCACATGATCAATATTATTATGTATATACATTTTCAATGAACAAAAAAATTATTATTTCAGCCCAATATTATTGTTGTGCAATGCTTGTCTATTTTTGTATGAAGAAACCAATGGCCTTCAGCCCACTTATCTGAGCCTTATGTTATGCTTTTTATATATTATTGGACTGTACAGTAGCCCAATTTACTTTCTATTTAGGGCCTTAGGCACATACATAATACATGGTTGAAAGAAAAAACATTAATATTAGGGTAAATTACACCCACACCCCTGAGGTATGCTTAAATAACTTTAAGGTCCCTGTGGTATTGATAATCACACTCACCCCCTTGAAACGTAGTTATAAACTCTAATGGTGTAATGCATTGGATTAGTTATCACGATAGCGTTCTAACGGACTATTGGTTTCAGGAAGTGGTGGAGACAACAAAGAGTTATGGCTGATTTAAGAAATATTGGGGGAGTCATGTCATCCCATAACTCTATGTTATTCCCACCACTAGCTAAAAGTAATAGTCCATTAGAACTCTATCGGAATAATGTATCCAATGCATTATCCCGTTAGGGTTTCTAAATTCTAACTACGTTTCAGAAGGGTGAATGTAATTATCGATACCATAGGGACCTTAAAATTATTTAAGCATACCTCAGGGGTGTGGGTGTAATTTACCCTTAATATTATCTTGTTTTGAGGATCAGCTATATACGTATCTGATTTAACGGACAGTTGTGGGAGTTAAGTGGCATGTTGGCATGTTGTTGTTGTATATATGCAATAAAAATAACTCATCTGATATACTATATAAAAAAATAAGGGCATATTACAAATAAGCCCATCAGTGGGAACTTATTCATAAAGAGATCCAGACAATATTCTCCTTTACCAATAAGTCCACACATGGTCCAGATTTATGTAAAGGACTAAAATAACCCCTCTTACTTTTATATGCTCCAATTTCATCCTTAACTTAATTTAACTTCAATTTGACCCCAAATTTCACAAATTATTCAATTTTGACCCAAAACTTTTTTTTTTCACAAATTTTTTTTTTTCAAAAACTTTTTTTTTCTGCCGGATTCCGGCGTTGACTTTTTTTTTTTTTTTTTTTTTTTTTTTTTTTTTTTTTCTTCCGGATTTTTTTTTCCGGATTCCGGCGTTGACTTTTAATTTTTTTTTTTTTTTTTTTCTTCCGGATTTTTTTTCCGGATTCCGGCGTTGACCGGCGGTAAACACCTGTCTCCGGCGTTGACTTTTTTTTATTTTTTTTATTTTATTTTTTTTTTAATTTTTTTTTCTGTAACTTTTTTTTCCGTGTTAAACAACAATATG